TCTCTCTCTCTCTCTCTCTCTCTCTCTCTCTCTCTCTCTCTCTCTCTCTCTCTCTCTCTCTCTCTCTCTCTCTCTCTCTCCCTACCCCTCTCCCTCCGTCTTCCTCCATTCCTTCGAAACTCTTTAACCCTTAACCCTTCCGTCACCCTTTTCCCTCCATGGCATGTGACTAACCTCTACCCTCACGTGTTACATTGCCAGGGAACGAACGGAAAGGAACTTGGTCCTCACTTGGTGGAAAGCGAGGGCAAGGGAATGGCTGTCGGTCCCTTGTGCCACCAAGAAGGAAAGGATACGAGACTATTGAGAACATTTGTGAAAGCAAAAAGGAGTGTTGTTTTTGGACGAGGTCAGTTGGACTCAACCATCTTCCCCGACTGCTTGACTAAGGTGAAGGCATGGTTTGCTTGAAGGCTGTGTGTCCTATGAGCGGAGAACGGGCGAAATTTAATCTCGTTGAACCCGTTCAAAGGGCCCGGGGGCCCCGTTAAATCGCGTTTAACGCGAAAACGGGGGTGTTCCGTTCAATTTTGAAAAATGGAACCGGCGCGTTGGGCCTCGGACACGTGGCCCTACGCGCCCAAAAACTAAAAAGAAGAAAGAAAAAAAAAAAAATTGACCCCTACTAACAGGGTGGGGTGATCAAACATTCCCCTCCCTCCCGAAATTCAAACTGCAAGAGGGTAAAAAGTAAGTGTCACCCCATACCCCAAGACTGTGAGCACATGTGTGTGCATGTGGTGATGCATTATTCCACGTTCTAGCAGAAGATCCATTTTTTTTTTTTTTTTTTTCTTTTGAAAGCCCAGGGTCGTGTAGAGGCCAAGGACCAGACCCCCTGTCCCTACTATCCTACCTCAGTGTGACCAGCACTCAGGACCATCACCCTACCAGTATTGAGGGCGACTTCGACCAGACAGCAATGACAAGCACCAGGGGCGAGGTCCCACTAGCAACGGGATAGGCTAGAAACGAGTTTGCGGGGCAGTTGAGTGACCCAAATTCTGCCATGCAGTACTCGTGATCCCACAGTCAGTGCAAAGAAAGCTTCCCGCCTGAATCTTTTCAATCGGTTGGGGGTGTGGCCAACCCCAAATGAGGTTGGGGTCGGCCTTAGCCCACTGGATAGAAGATATTCAACATTTTACTTGTTGTTGTGCAATTATCTCATTGGGTGCAACCCTCCTTCAATCTCGGGGTATATGGAGGGTGCCAGGATCACTTCTGACAAAAGTCAATTTTGTTCCCAGAAAATGTGGCGGTTACTTCGTTCACTGTTTTTGCAACCACCACCATCAGATCATTTGTGATTTGAGGGCTGGGAAACACTCTGCCGTGATTTCCGGTGGGAGGTCTCTGGGTTTTTTTTTTTTTTTGGCCTTTTTCCTATTTCTCAGTCCAGAAATTCGTAATGAACCTGTCTGGCCGCTGCCACTTAGTGTCACACTGGATCGGCCACACTCCTATCTGACTGCTAATGGGACCTCGCCCCAGGGGCATGGTCCCATTAGCAGACGGATTGGATTGTGGCCGATCTAGTGTGACACTGAGTGGCAGCGGCCTGACAGGTTCATTACGAGTTTCTGGGCTGAGAAAACAGGAGAAAGGCCAAAAAAAAAAAAAAAAAAACAGAGATCTCCCACTGGAAATCACGGCGTAGTACTTCCCAACCATCAGATTACAAATGATCTGATGGTGCTGGTTGCAACAACAGTGAACGAAGAAGGCCAAATCAGGGAGTCTACCCAGCATGGAGTCTACCCAACAAGATTACCTAAGCAAAGCAGTCCAAAAAAAATGTTGTTTATGGTTTTGATATTTTTAAAAATACATGAGGTTATAAAAATATATATATATATATATATATATATATATATTTTGTTGTACATCTTTGAAAGATGTACAACCTTATATTTTTTATTTTTATTTTTTGTTTTTTTTTCTAGCCCTTAAAAAATCTTTGTGAAACCCTAAAAAAAAGGACTCATGTCATTTCTTGTTTTTATTTTTTTTCATTGTGCTTACGTTTTGATTTTTTTTTAAATATATTAAAAGCTTTAAAAATAAAAATAAAAATATGGGGTCGTAGAACTCGAAAAGATCTACGACCCCATATTTTTTTTGTTTATTTTTCGATTATGTTTTGCCTAGGAAAAAAATCATTGCGGACCCCGTTTTTCCCCGTCCAACGCGCTTTTGAACGGGCGTTGAACGCGAATTCAACGCGCGTTCAATAATTCAACGCGGAACCCGCGTTGAATCCAAAATCGGACACACAGCTTGAAGGAAGGGGAAAGACAACCTAAGGAACGTCAAGGGTAAGAGAATCTTAGGCTTCTGGGAAGGGGCAATGTGTTGACCTCAATGGGGATTGTACTTGGGCCTCTCGTCTTGTGTGGTCTTGTGCAGGTGAGTGGGTAGGGCGATCTGATTGGGGTTGGATCCACGGATGAGGACTAGGGTGGGAGAATTGGCTAAAGGATGGACTTGGACCTCGCATAAGCTGTGGATGCGGGATGCGTTGTACGGTCGGGTGGTCGGATGCTCGGACGAATGGTGGATGCTTGGATGTGGTTGTGTGATGATTGAATGCAATGACTCTCTCGTGAATGCGATGCAAGCGTGGAAGGGCTAAGGGCTATCGTGGATAGGTGAATGCAATGTTAGTGGCTCAAGCAAAAAAAAAATATAGCGGCTAGGGGTCCGAGCGATGCCACCCCACCCCAAGGATGTCGCAGGGGCTGTCTTGAGCCACTAGACTTAGAGAAAGGGTGTATGGCCCAATGGATGACACTTGGCCTACACATGAAAGAAGACGAATTTCCAACGAACTCGCTGGACTGTCTGCGTATTGGAAGGAGCAATTGCCTGGTCAGACCTAAGTGAATCGAGAAAATGCCACGAATGATCAAAAAGCTACCATCTTGACGCGAGAGTGGAGCTACATCCCCCAATGTAAAGCCCTCTCGCAAAAAGGTTCATCCCCACCCATCTCATAGCATTAGGTGGGGGTGCCCCTGGAACGAACGACCCGCGCCCTGAGCGTGAGCGTGGGCAGGTTGAGCCAACTAGGACCCGCAGCGGGGTCGACTTAGGCTCGAAAGTCCTTCAGGGTACGACCCCTACACCGTCTTACTTGAAAATTTTCCTTCCAAGAATGGGGTATCTCTTCTTATTTGAACTGCATGCTAGAGATGGAATGAAAGTCTGGATGAGTTCATGAAATATTTTAATTGGACTGTCACTCTAAGTAAGGATTTTCATTCATAAATAGGTCAATCCAATCTAAATTAGACGTTATTTGTTGTAATAGAATAAAATTTTAATTAAAACATTTCATAAACTCGTCCAGACTTTCATTCCATCTTGAACAAATAGATGTAGCTGGAAGGGAAAACTCATATTTAGACGGAAACTTATCAAATTAAATTGGAAATTTTAGAATTGGACAAACATTGGAATGATAATTTATAAATATGAAGGATTTTTTTTTTATTGAATGTTTTTTCAAATTTCATTTCTCATGGGAATTTTTCTGTTGTATAGATTCACGCCCCTAGATGAGAAGGTTGGCG